AAAAAACACATTTTTTTTAATCAACATGAATTTCCCTCTTAATACATCTATATACATAAGGAGAGAGGGAATGAACCCCACCTCCTGTCGCCTCCAGATTTCTCCTACCTTTTGTTCCTTGGCTTTTCCATCTGTGCATTTATCATTTGGGTAATAAAACCTCATATTGTAGGTGTGACAGTACCAGGTTTATCATTTTATCATATGAATACGTCTTTTTTTCTTGAATTCTGCTTTCATACTTCTAGACCTGGTCTATTCCCAGCTTAGGTAGTTGTGTCCTTGTGTAGGACAGTAATTTTCTTTGGCTGCTTTATTTCAAATATATCTGTGAGTGGAACAGGTGAGGAAAAAAATCTCATCGGCTATAGGAAATGGCATTCATGGTGCAGGAAACAATCTTTCATTTCTCTGCTTGTTTTCCCTTTTATTCAGTTGTATGCTTATAACACTGAATTGCTTTTCCATTGTGATGCTGAAGATCAAATATACTGTTTAAAAAGGTCATTATCCACCTAAACTCACAAAATCTCTCTTTCCTGTTAACTACTTTACTCCAGGTAGATTACAGAGTCGTTTTCACTGTAATTTGATCTTTGAAGCAGCACTAGATCTTTCTAGTTTAAAAAACCCCTAATACTTGCTTTTATTCCTTTAGAACATTTTTGTACTGATGTTTGCAAAAAATGGTTGTTCTTTTGTATAGCAGAGGTTTCATTTGAAATTTTGGATGAAAGACCTAAGTGGACAGCCCTGCTGTTGTATCAAAGTTCTTAGGAAGGTTCATTTGAGAAAACAGATATAAAGTGATGTTGGAAGGAACAAATGTCAGTTAGATGCCAATGACAGACATACAAATGCTATTTAAAGTTTTGAAACTGTTTTACTCATTCAAGCTCTTATACAAACAATAGCAAACATTAAAATTATTTTTTTCTGCTGTTAGCTTAACTCTAAGTATGGGAGAGGTAACGGGGCCAGAAGCAGAATTGGGAGTTTTAGTTTCTGCACGTAACTGCACAATTCTGACCCAGATCTACTGAAAATTCACAGACAGTTGTGGTTGAAATCAGCCAGGACTTGGGGCAGGAGCATCTTTCATAACTCTAACATTACAGTAGCGTTTGTGCTGGTGAGTGTTGAAGTCCTCAAGTGATTTTCCATATCATCAGCCAGAAGCTGTAAGAGAAGCCTCAGTTACCATATGTCTAGCTGTAGAACAAGGAGGGAAACACATCAGTCTTCTCCCAGACATGCAGCAAGGCTGGGAGCGAACCAGCATTGCAGTTGGGTTTGCCTTGTTGTCTTTGAGCTCTGTTTAAAGATAAAATAAAATAAATATGAATAATTTCAGAGAGGAAAGACTTCCACATGGCAATTTTTAATACCAGTACTATTGAGAGTAATAGCTATTTAGATGGGTAACTGGAAAATCTAATAAAACTTTTCATAGAATGCTGGAAGTGTATGTGAGTATGTGTGAAAGAGGAGGCGGCATAAATTGAAAATGATGTTTTAAAAGGGAAAGAATGCCAACATTCCATGTCTCGCTATGACAAGGTAGAGTTGTGGTACTGTTCTGGAGTTGGTATTTCATATTTACTAATTGGGAGTATTTCTTTAATCCACAGAAATTTTCATGATGGCAGATTGTGCAATTATAGTAAACATCTAAGCAACTGTAGGAAAAAAATTGTTTTCTTCAGTGAATGTATGCAATGGTCATTGGCTCATGCCCCCCATGTCCTCCCAAACAAAACCCCAAATGGCATTAGTGTGGATAGCAGGTCTATCTACATCCGTCCTTTTGCTTTATGCATCTGACCCAAACGCTGGTTTAGAAATGAACACAAGTCATTCCATGAGGGTCAGCATGGGGCAAGAGGGCCAGGGCTGAGCTGAGACTGAAGTCTTGCTGGGCTGCCTCTGCATTCAGCCAGGAGATGTGTCTCTGGCTTGCTTTAACTCTTCTGCTCTATGGGCGGTGATGGAAGGACATGGGAGCTGAGCCAGACTCTAGCTGGCTTTGCTTGTGACCTGCTGTGCTTCATCCAGCTTATCACGTGTGCAGATAGAGTGCAGGTGTGACACCAGCAGCGTGGAAAACTTTGAAGTTAAGAAAACATTGTGTCTGTGGAGTTTAGATGCCTTTATCTGTAGTCAGCAGCAGAGCGAGGCTTCCATGATGAAATTGATTTGTAAATGCACATATTTGTTATGAAGTCCTGCTTCAAACACCCTTGAGCTGTCTTTCTGTTTTTGTTTCTTCTTTCTTTTTTTTTAAACTATGTTTTTAACTTCCAAGAACTCCCTTTTCTGGAGTTGGGGTCTGAGCTTTTGGAGGGTGGTTTCAAAAAAACCAACTGTTCCTTGGTGTTACAAGAGGAAATCAGCATGGGTAATTTCAGTATTCATTACAGCAGAATTTGGTGGGAAAAAAATTTTAATCTGGCAGATGCTTCTGAATACAGCACTCGAGCTGCTTACTTGGTTTGAGAGGGACTTCTCTTTATGAAGTAATAAGCATTTGCAAGTTTAGGTTCTATATATAGGTTTGTATTTCTACAAAAGGGGAACAAAAGCAGGCTTATTAATTTTCCATGCTTAAATGTTCTCAGGTTTACAGAGGAGGAAGGTAGATAGAAGAAACTCAGTGTTCACACTCATCTGTTAATGAGTTTTAGTAGCTAGTAGCACTATAGTTTGATATTTGTTTTTGAATTGTTCTATCTAATATCTATAGAGGATATCTAGCAGGGGGGTTGGAACTAGATGATCTTTAAGGTCCCTTCCAACCCAAACCATTCTATGGTTCAGTGATTCTGTATTACAAGCTGGCATCAGCTGGGGTTACCACAGATGCAGTCATAAAACTAGGGACATGTCTGTTGTGACAAGCCTTTGGTATGGGAAAGGGCTCTGGTAAATTTAAATTAGTGTTAAAATGTGTGTGTATTTAGGCATTTTTAGTGAGCAGATTGAGATTATTTTTAGCATAAAGACAAATAATTATCCTTATAACCAATTTTTCCTCATGTTGACACATTGTCTAGTTTAATTCTATGTTATCCCATTGATGGTAATTCACCCTTCAAGACTTTAAATTTTGATACTTTTTGTTTGCTTTCTTTTCTGCTTTGTTTTATACCAAACTGTTTGTCGTGTTGACTAATGCTGTTTCGTTTTATTTTCGTCTCTTGGGTATCTATCTGTTCTCTCTTGTTTTGTACTTAGATTATACAGCGTAGGGCTGGAATTCATCTTTTTGTTCTGGATTTGTAACTCTATGTCAGCAAAGTATGAGCCCCTGCGTGGAGTTCGTACTGAGTATAAGAGTTCACACAATGGATGTCCTCTTGTAGTTTGACTCTCCTTGCCCTTTACTGATAGAAATTGAACAGTGTGACCTATAAGACCTAGCAAATTGGTTGTAATACCAGAGTTTCCTCCTTTACATGTAAGTATATTATTTATGGCATAATGAAGTGTGATTATTGTCTAAACACTTTCCCATATTGAATACTAATCTGCAGAGAATGAGTGGCAGCGAGGAAAAGCAGTGCTGGTGGGAAAAGGCGCTCTATTCTCCCCTTTTTCCTGCATCACAGTGTGAAGGTAAGAAGCTATGTCTGTTTGAACTAACTTGCTCTTGCACCTGTGTTAGAATGAAATGCTCTTTCTTATGGATTGGAATTGTTGCAGGTTAATTCAACTACCATCTGTATTTAAAAAAACCCAAACAGTAAACTTGCATAATAAATTCTCTTATCTGAGAGAGAACTGGGATGCTTCAGTTGCATTTGTAATAAATCTCTAGCATGTTTCAAAATAGTTTTAAAATGAAAGTACTTTTAAAATAGTCTTAATATTTATACAAATTCACTTAATTCCAGAACATGGAATTAAGTAAGTAGAATGGTAATCTCTGAAAATACTTTATTACATTTTTGAATATGTTTCAACCCAAATCACACTTATTAGGTAGCTAATTTTATAAGAATGTGAAAACATGAGAATTACCTTTTATGGGTTTGCATAAATAACATGCCAGTTATTCGGTGAATGTGTGGAATTCCTCTCAAGCTGAGAAGGAGAGAGTTGCCTCTTGGCCACTCCTTTCACAGTGACAATCTGGGAATTTTTCTGTCCCACAAAGAGTAAGTCCAGTGTTGGTAGGCAGGCTGCTCGCAGGCAGGAGCAGGTGTGCTTCCAGCGCTCTCTGATGCCTCCCAAGAATTCGTAGCATCTGACAGCTGCCCAAAGCCCAGGTTTTCGGTGGACAGGCAAGAATCCAGACACCTTTTTTTTTTACCTGCATATTGATTTAACTTTTCTAGGGAGAAGGCAAGAAGCTAAATAAGAACATTCAGTATAGAGAATTGACAGGCTGTATGATGTTTTCTGTTGGGAGAGGTTCAGCGCAAGAAGCTTTTGATCAGAGACCTGGTTCCTTAATAATCTGGAAGTAGATTAGTCGGTAATTATTACTGAACTATTTTTGGAGTGCACCTTAAAGTGCAACCATTTAAACAGTGTTCTCGGTGCCTAAATGCCCTTCCTTTGGTGTTCAGGACAATTTGGGTTACTTTGAAGAACGTTTTAACTGCCTTCACGCCCAACTATAGGAATGTGTTTGTACAGTGAGAGAGAATAGATTGATGCCTACAGGACTTTGACTTGCCTCCTGGACTGGTCACAGAACCTCCCATATTAGAAAAAAACTCAGTATTTATAACATAGAGACATATTTAGTGTCCTTTTTGCGATGATTGTGGAGGTATTATTGGTGCACTAGTTAATGTAGTGACTTGCCCTCTTGAGTACGCGTTTTACAGAGAGTAATCCTTCAATTCCTGTGAGGGAGTTCTGCCATCTTTTTGCTGACACCCGCTGGTGAACCTGCATAACTGTCTTGGTGTTTTCACCACCTCATTTCATTAGAGGAAGATAGAATATACAGTATCAAATACTATGGAGTCCAGAACCTGCTTGATACAGTGGCAGAATTTTTGTGAAGTGGAATAGTTCCAGGATTTCCTGTTTTAGACTAAGTTTAACAAAACCAGAGATTTATCCTCAGAGCTAATGTTATTCTTTCACAAATCTTTAGCTGTATCTGTACCATACAGAACAGTTTTCTGTATGGCTATCTTTTATATATGGGTATTGATGCATGTGATCCACATGTATTGATATGATATATGTTGATATTATATATGGAAGTTTACGCTGGTAAGTAGAAACCACAGCCATTCAGGTCAACTTTCTTTTTTTGAGCTTCAGTGAGGATCAGGCTGCTGTTGCAGTATATTTTGTATGAGTATAGAAATAGGAAAGATCTAAACCACTGTGAAGTATCAGAATTTAAATGTTCTGAGCCGTTTGTAATAAAAAAGTAATTCTTGCTCTTTGTACATTACTATTTTAGATGTTTTCATTAACTAAGTAGCTTTTTTTATTATTTGGTTATCCAGGTAAGATTTGATAACGCTTCTGTAAGGTATTATGCTTCTCTCTTTTTAAGGATGTCAAACTATAAAATCCCCCACAAGCACAGAGTTTACATGGCTTAGGGTGTGAATTTCAAGAATACTTCTCTAGATTCTTTCATTTTGGCTAAATGTAAATAACAGTGTTCCTCAATTCTGTTTTTTTCTTCCTTTTTCCTCTGAAACACCCCCACAAACACAATGTAAGAGTGTTATACAAATGCCAAGGGAGAGAATGGTGTAGGAGAATTTGCAGATGTAAAGGAAATATCCAATGATGATGAACATCTTTTAGATTTTAATATGGTAAGTGTGTAATTGGTTTGGGGGAGGAGGTTTTTTGTTTATATTGTAAGGGTGTGCTGCCACATCTTTCCTTTCATCACAGTTTTCAGTGTGGCTTCAAATGAAATTCCTATGAAAACCTTCAAAAGCTTTTCTTTTCCTTACGTTGTTTTTAAATCTCCTCTGTGTCTTGAACGTTCTTCTGAAAACTGCTCAGTGTTGTACTCAGGGGAGTACAGCCCTTGTACTTTTAGTAGTTAAGCAAACTCAGTTTCCTTTGGGAACACTTGGCTTTTTGCTTGTGTGTGTTTTAAATGTGAGTCTTCTTTTCCTCAGCTTCTAATTTCAGCAAGCGTAGAGTGGGCTGATGTGCACTATGAAGGCAGGAAGGACCAGTAACTAAAGGCGTAAACATAACGTATGCTGAATTCTGTCCTGCTTACGAACAACAATCTGATTTTTTGCTTTAGGGAAAATACTTGTGTACACGTGCACTTACTGATATATTTTTAAACTTTATAGTGATGACAGCACTTAAGTTTATGCTGTGACATGCTTGCTATAGCTTTACTGATTCAGCTGAAAATATAGTGGTTTTGCTTGATACTTACTCAGATCTGTGCTGTGTTTTCTTGATATTTAATACTTACTACCAAATTTTTTTTTAACTTTCACAGTAATTTTCTAACATGTCCTGTGATAAGGATGCATTCTAACTGAGTTCATTTTGATTCTCTTGCAATTTTGTGCAAATCCTAAAATGAAGGAATAGGAAAAAAATAGTAAAGGCCCCACCTTTTTTCCCTGCTGTTCTGCAGTCCTTTCTACATGGTGGACTAAGGAAAGTGGAGGACTTGCCCTATAATCGTGACATCTCTCGAGACCACAAAAGTATATAACCTCCCAGCTCAGACAAAAGCAAGCGTGTTCTTTATTGTTCCCCATCAACACTGTCAGTTTAAATCCTTAGGTTTCTTCTGTTTATGAAGCAAGATGTGCAGATGATATAAATGCTGAGGCAAAACCAAATGGCTTCAGGAAGAAGATCTACTCCAGTGATAGCTCCAGCTCTGAAGAGACAGCTTCAGAAGGTGGAAGTGAATGGGCTGATCCGTGTGAGGAGGAGCTTTTTTCTCGAACTCAACTATAAAAACTGCAGAGTAGAACAGATGCTTTAAAAGTAACATGAGATGGAAAACTATCCTTCTTGAGGGTCTGTAGCTCTAAAACAACAACTTGAGTTTCCTCTTCAGTTAATGGATTCAGATGTGTATTTATCTTTCTCTTCTTGCTTATTTTATAGATGAGGACACAGCTGTCCTGTTGAAGATTTTTTTTTTCCCCCCCAAAAAAAATCCCTATTAAATTCTTGGCTATTTGAACTAGACTAGATTGTGTTGTCAAATCAAGAATGGATGTGCATGTGCTTGTCTTAGTAGTACCACTGCTTTTTTGCATCTTAATTGCAGTTATTTTCATTTGTAACTGTAGCCCTACCACTATTACTATCTTCTTAGCATCGCAGTGTCTACAACTACTTCTGCTATTCAGAGACTTCAGCTTTCTGCACATTAGGCTTTGTTCTTTAAGAACTGGGAGATAAATACTTAACACTGTAATCTATCAGTGCCTTTCTGAATGCAGGAGAAAAGCATGAATGACTTGTCCAGTCTTCATTCAGTAAATCTCATAACTTTGAAGTAGGAACAACAGGGTTGTGCTTTAGAGACTTACAGAAACTGTGTTTTCTATCCTATGATTCCCCCTCCCACAAATCAACACTGAGGATACCATGGTTTGTATTTTTGCTAACTGGAGAAGCCAAGGATTTTTTGTAGGTATGGAGGCAATGTGGGGTTTTTTTCCTTTTTTTTTCTTTTTTTTTTTTTTTTGTCCTTTTTAGCAACTTGCCAATGTGGGGCAGAAGTTTAAAAAGTTACACCAAAAATCATAAACCACTGGGGTGATGTGTGGATTGTTGTGAATTTTGTAACGAGTAATGAGAATGTTGTCTTGTTGCAGATGATGGCATTCATGTAACCTGCAAAAGCATCCTGTACTGAACTTGAGCCTGAATGACTGAAACTATCTAAAATGCTCAGAGTGTTCAATGTTTTAAATGCAAAGGGTCAGTGCTTCACTTGAAAGAAATCCTGTGGCTGCTGCAGTTAGCTGCTGTTGTGGCTGTAATTTAGTAAATCTCGTAGTTCATTTTGTGTTTCCGAGAGAATGTGTGGGGCAAGTTATGTGTGTGGCGGGTGGGGGTAGGGAAAGCGATGACTTACAACATACATGTGTGATTGCAGTAGTGATTGTTGCTTTATGTGACTTGCTTTTAAATTTTCTTTTGTTAACTTAGAAAGTCAATACATTGTCAAGTTGCATCTGTACAAGACTATCAACTCCTTGTGCTTTTAACACATTATGCAAAATGTATAAGCCAGGAGGAGCAATATTTGCAAAACTAAACATTCTAAGTTTTTACCAACTCATAGTTTAAAAAACAACAACAACTAACTAGTCTACACAATAGCAGCATGTCTATAACATCAGGAAGTGCAGAAAGTCCAATACTGACTTGAAAAGCTTAACCATTAATTTTGACAGGCAATAAACCTCATGAGAACTATAGCTGTTTGAAATGTGAGCTGAACTGCCTTTGAAATATGTTCTGTGCTAGAAAGGTTTTCTGAATAACTGGGTTTTGTTGCCTTTATTCAATTGATAATGTAAGAATTGGAATACGTGGTTGGAAAACCATGCTGTTCTTTGTGCAACGCTTTTGTTGAGATCCTTACTTAAAATTGGCTTGATTTGTCCTTACCCAGGGACTTTCTTTCAGTCCTCCTCTTAGACTATGATTTAGGGTTTGTATTCATACAACAAATCTTTTGACACTTTACAGTTTCTTAATTTATTTGCAGACTTTGGATAGATTTTTATATATTTTACTTTCTTCTGGAGCTTCCTTGAGAGGTTGTTTAGCACCTGCACTGAGAACTAGTTAACTGTAACATGAAAATAAAAAAAAAAAAAGAACTTTAGACACAAATTCTTCAAATCACTACAGTGAAGAATGGAATAGAACTTCATTCGAGAACAAGAAATGACCAAATGGACATATTTCAAACACAAACTTCAGCTCAGTTAATTTTGGCTAGAGCTGCTTCTTCGGTAAGAAAGGGCTCAAAAATAACAAAGGTGTTGCTTATAGTTACATTGTGGCATGTAATAATTCCAGCACCTTTGGGGAAAATAAAATCGTATATTGAGCTTGGGCAATAACAAATTGTCTTTACTTGTTTTCATAGTTTAATGGCTAAAGCTCTAAAGCTTTCAGTGAGAGTTGAAGTGTGGTTTTTAGTTTTTCTGTATGGATAGAAACACACACAACAACAAATCAACAACAACAGAAGCATTAAAGGTTGGCATACGCAGAACCGCACTGTGGTATGAAGCGCATTGCATATCCATAGCACTGAAGTATCAGTTTTCCATTCCTGGGCTGAAATTTTGTTTCTACTTTTTGCTTCAAGTGGTTGTATTGTTCTGATTTCACGTACACCAGAGTAACTGATTTTGTTTTCTTGTGGAGTTACTTAACACCGAATAAAAATATAAAAGGACAATTGGATGGCGTGTGTGTGTGTTCATTTTCTTTGACTAGCGTATGTAACTTAGATACAACACAGCAGCTAAGCATTAAACATTCTGGAGAGAGAGCATGAGGTATCTAATTTGGGAGTCCTTTTCATTGCTGGAATTTTCATTGCATAATTTAGTTTTTTATTCTTTTTCAATACAATACAGGAACATTAAATACACTGCATATGTTCTTTTTTTAAAAAAAAAAAAGACAAGCAAACTTAATAAGCTTAGTTCTCACTTTGAGTATTGCTGTAGAAAATGTCATAATCTCATAAATATCATAAACTTCACGTTTAGAGAACACAAGACCTTTTTCAAAAAAACACAAAAAAATTAAACCCCCCAAAAACCCAGACCCTCTCTCACAGATCAGTCAAAGAACTTTTATATAGTACGGGATCTAAACTAGCAGACTTTATTCCTGCTTTCAACTTGTGCTCAGCCATCAAATGGTCACTATTTCACTTCCGCTGTTAGAAAAACTGCATCTGTGACAAGAAAATGCATACTCCTCACTCCATGGCCAGCTCTCTGTGTAAAAAGAAAAGAGAGCCCCCGTTGTGAACAGCTGACAGTCAGCTTGTGGAGACACGTGCATCGTGTTGCTGGAAGTTCGCAGCCACACTGATGTGGGATTCCATGTGGAATGATTGCCGCTCCCCTGAATTAGAAGTGCAATGAAAGCAACGCATAAACACACACTTGGGAAATAATGGAAAATAGTTGGTCTGTAAGGTCTTGGGTCAATACTTCTGTTCATTAGTATCTAGCGTGCTTTAAACTTCATAGTTAAAACTTTAATTATTTATTTCTTAAATGCATCAGGAGTGTATTTTCATTGTATTTATAGAAGATGCTTGATGAAAGAATTAAATTTCATCAGCCAGGCCTTTCAGTTGCTGTATCTGAATCATGAACTCCACATATCCAATGTAAACAATGCTTCTATCACGCAAACCCCACTGCGTAGTCCTTGGCAGCAATTGCATCTGTTGGTGGTAGGGCAGGCTGTGGGGTGCCAGACTTATCCAGGCTTGTTGGTGCCGAATACAGGGCCGTTAGCCGCAGCAGAAGGGGCCCTGGGGGAGTCCAGC